TGCTATTATTTCGTAAAGGGTATAAAAAACGTTGTATACTAGTTATACAATAATTTAATAAAGAATAAGGTTTATAGTCACTATACAACTGTGCTAGCAATACGCGTTTTATATCCAATATTCACCTGTTTAACTGTCACATATAGTATACAATGGTCTTATAATGGTATATAGAATTCTAATAAAGAATAAAACGCATTTCTTTCAGTGTAGAAATCATAAAATCGTTTTTAATGTGGACACCTTGGTATGTAGACGCACTGAATTAATAGGATGACAAGATAATTCAATTTGACAGCAAAGATATCGACTAACATTATTATTTGAAATGGTGTCATAAATTATTGTTTTGTATGAATGCCAAATTTGACTGCAACAAGATTTACCGCATTCAGCAGGTCGCAGCAAACCGCAGAAAACCGCAAAATATACAATTTATTTTACATAATATCGAAAAATATATTTTTCGCAAAAAAGCAGATCGTTCTTAATTTCATTTTGGAAAAAACTGTACTATATTTTAATTCTAATTCTGTGTTCTTATAGATCACTATGCTAAATTGAAAAAGAACACTGATATTGTTTAACATAAATATTAGGTAACGATGTCCAAACCATATTTATTAAAATAATTAATGTAATTTCTAGAAACAATATTTGAAGAGACTAGAAATAAAAAAAAAGTCTGAGTCACAAAATCATTAATCTGAGGCAATTCGCGAATTTATTATTATTTCAATAGAAACATCTGTTTAGTTCAGATAGTTTTATAGTTACTGACGAGTCATTAAATCCTCTACTTTGAAATTAGCAAAAAATATCACAGATTTGCTTCTATCTTCTATTGTTTTGCTCGTCCTACTTTGTTAGTTGTAAAGGGCTACTTAATTTTCACTTTTTGAAAATTTTCTTTTTCGGTACGTTCTTTGGATCAATTATTATTAATCCAAAGAACGTACCGAAAAAGACTTATATCTACGATATTAACTTCTAAAATTAATGTTTAGTCGTTTAGTAATTAAACAATTGCAATAAAACAAACGAAATTAATTAACATATACCTGGAACAACAATTTTATGGTCAATCGAATCGGCCTTTGGCACACATGTTGGGCTTTGTATTGACCGTTCGGAAATTAATTTTTCCGTGTTAGACCTTTATTTTACAGTTAACGAATTGGTGAAATATGACTTTAAATAACCTTAAATTGTAGGTAATTTAATTGCCTACAACATAAAATAGCTAATTTCCGATAGGTCGTCTCGATTTTTATGGTCAATAACAAAAGTGAAATTTTGCAACTTATTTACAATTTGCCAACTCAGCTTCACTTCTTTCAAGTTACTTTTTGATATTATCAGTCTACATACTCGCACGCTTCCCCATTATAAAGTGCAATAAAATGTCTACTAATATTTTCTTACGTTCAAACTTTAATTCGACTGGAATAATTGTCTATGGGTGCTCAAAAATGCAGTTGTTTGAGCCGATGTGTGAGAGCTCGCATTGTCGTGGTGAAGAGTGATCCGTCTTCGGCGGTTGGTTTTCCTGATTTCTTGGAAGACAACTGGCAAACAAATGGTTGTGTACCACTCAGAATTAACTGTTCTGCGTTGTTCTAGTGGTACGGTTGCGACATGTCCAGTTTTTCCGAAAAAACAGGCGACCATTTGCTTGGAAGTGCTTCGTGCGCGAACAACTTTTGTTGGATTTGGCTCATCTTGAAACACCCATACAGTCGACTGCTGTTTACTTTCGGGCTCATACGCGTAAATCCACGATTCATCACCTGTCACGATGTCATAGACGTGTTTCGAAGCACCGCTATCGTATTTTTTGGGCATTTCTTTCGACCAATCGACACGAGCCTTTTTTTGAGCGATTGACAAATTGTGTGGGATCCAACGCGAACAAATTTTTTATACAGTCAAATGTTTATGCAATATTGAATGTATGCTGGTCCCACTAATGCCTAAGGTTGTCTCAATCTCACGATAGGTCACATGACGATCTTGCAATATCAGTTCGCGCGCAGCATCAATGGTTTTCGGAACAACAACTGATTTTGGACGACCTTCACGAAATTCGTCTTGGAGTGAACTACGACCACGATTGAATTCACCATACCATCGATAAACACTGGTCCTTGATGGAGCGTCATCGCCAAAAATTGAATTAAGTTCATCCATGCACTGTTGCTGAGTTAATCCACGTCGAAAGTTGTAAAAAATAATCGCACGAAAATGTTCACGATTTAATTCCATTTTTGGGCCGACATGAATCTTTTAAGTTACTGTAAACAACACAAATAGCGCTCGTATGTCAAAACGTTCTGAGTACGTATAACCTCAAAAATGTCAAACTTTACGATAGAGCTGTCAGTTGCCAGATTGCAACACTAGGGTTGCCAAATCCCGAAACATAAAAGGCAACCCTCGTATATTTATTTAAAAATCAGATGTTCGTTATTTGAAAAATCGCTCGGACCCTTCGAATTATATTTTTAGTTGCGAATTTGCTGCAGCAGTGTTCATTTATACAGGGTGACCCAAAAAAGTTATGAAATCAAGGCCAACTTTTTTAAATGGAAACCCCACTTTTTTGTATTTTTATTCAATTCTCCATGGAATTCTGATCATTTTTTATGTAACATAACCTATACCTATCTTTAACTGTTTTGAGATAATGGCGTCTGAATATAGAATATGGAAAATTTTCAAAAATTTTAAATGATTTACCCTGCTGGTTTTAAAATAAAACCACGTTTACTTTTCCATCTTAGATTTGTGTGGTTCACAGAAAGTTGCTTCAAATCAGAAAAATCCATAAGAAATAAGTGGTTCGATGATTTATTTTGATCATTAGAACGCAATGACTTGAATGTAAAAAAATGAGTGAGGTATTTAGGTATAATTTAATTAAAAATGCATAATTTTATTGTATAAAATATGATTTTATTAAATGTCACTATTTAAATTATGACCCAGATTATTTTGCAAATTTTTAGCATTTTTTCATGTTTTTTTTTGTAAAGAACAAAAAACTTAAAACACTCTCCAGAACAACACTCATTGTAGCCGTCGTTAAGCAACTGAATATTAAATAGGTAATGTCAAAGTCAATTGAAACTGATGTACCTTGTTCACATTTTTTATTATTTAGGACAGTGCAATAATTACTTAACTAGATGGCGCATCTAACAGAAACGCAGTGGATAGAAATTCTAATTTATTTGGGACACTATGACAAAGCCAGAACACAACAAGAAGTATGTGATATAAAAAATAATCAGAATTCCATGGATAATTGAATAAAAATACAAAAAAGTGGGGTTTACATTTAAAAAAGTTGGCCTTGATTTCATAACTTTTTTTTGGGCCACCCTGTATAAATTAAAATTGCTTCAGAAAATGCGCAACTAAAAATATAATTCGACGCTAATATAATTCCATACTTTTGCCGCTCAGGGTATAATGAACGGGTTAATTACCAGCACGATTTGCCAGTAATATTGTATTATTGGCATCCTATTACCATTCATTCTTCATGTCTTTTAGTTTCAGTAGCTCTGACTGAAGATCCCAATTCAGAAAACCTCCTTCACGTCTACGACAAGTATGGTACTTATACATTGTCTGCTTCTGGCTGTAAAAACATCAAAATTATACACAAGTTCAAATACTCCTCTGTTTGGCCCTCTATAGTCGCCAGAAGTTTAGAGTAAGTATTTATACAAATTGTTTTCACACAAGAAGTAATTTCTCAATTTTTTTTTTTTTTTGATTTTTAAAATGTACAGTATAAGGTCATGTATGGAATAGCATATTGGGTAAATCGCCCCACAGTTTTGCTGGCCCATACACACTCTTTTATCGAAATTTTCCATGATCGTTTTGCATAAATGTGGCTGAATTTCATTGATACAGTGCTCAGTTTTCTCCTTCAAGGCGTAGGTGGTCGTGAGCTTGTTGGCTTGTTAGACTTCAAAAAACCCCAAAGAGAAAAGGCCAACAGTGTTAATTAAATTGAATGATCTAGTAGGCCAATTCTGATAACCAGAATCGAAAATTACACCACCAGGACATGAATTGAATTGTTTCTCGGGCTGGCACCGACTTGTTGTCTACATTTATATCTTGCAATTTAGGCACAAAAAACTGGATTGCCGTGTCGCGATAGAAAACATCGTTAACTGTTATTGCCCGACCAGCCGAATTTTTGACGAAGAATGGTCCAGTCAGAGCCTCCTACATCTACAAGCCATGAGATAATAAAGGCAACACCGCATTATGTGGCACCCGTAGACTGGATCGTTTCGCGTTGATATCGGCTATGGCCGGCGATTTCAATTCTTGAATTTAAGAGCACTTACCTAGGGTAACTGTTTTATTAAAATTTAAAATATGAAAATATGTAAATTAGTCAGCAAATTGGAGTTGAGATCTGCTTGGTCAATTAAATATTACCTACAGTATTTTGCGCAGCCTAACGTCCAAAAAAAAAAAGTAATATTCAATTGTTCAGCAAAACTAGCAAGAAGGTGCAGTGCAGAAGTTATACAGCCATTTATTGATAATGTAAAATATTATTTTTTTTTGTAGGTACGATTACAATATATACAGGGATCCCACCCCTTCTGAAATCTAGGGCATCTAAAAAAATTAAAAATTCAATACCTCCTAAAAGTGAATGGACTATGCCGGATCGATTGGAAATATTTTCAACTTCTGGCTCACACCGGAAGTTTCAGTTTTTTTAAATCGAATAGCATATTTTTTTTATTGATCTCAATTCTACGCCGAAAACTAGGAAACTTTTGTAAAAAAAATTTTTTTAGATCATTTTCCACCCAAAATACCTTCCGAAATGTAAGTGTTCCCCTGAGAAATGACACAAAGAAATGAAGTACAGTACTTTACTACCAAGTAACCTAAATATGTACATTAACAAGTTTGTCTCCACTGTAAAAATTTGTTAATGGCTTTCGACTTATATTATACTTACTTTATACTTTGTGGTTTAACTGCACAACTTCAGCTTCAGGAGTTGCACTTTCTGATAAAGTCGAAATCCTTTAATTTAACAAATTTTTACAGTGTAGACAACTTTGTTAATCTACAGGCTGGTCCATTTTCGATGGGAATTCAGGGTATTTCAGAAACTACTAAAGATATGATAAATCTGACATGACGTTCTCGAGCTCGATTTTCATGGCAAACTGGACTGTCAAATCAGAAATTTGCTATCAGTTAAAGTGAAAACTGCTCAAGACTAATTCTTTGGCCTAGAATTGAATGCTAGTATTAAATTTTTAGTAAATCTTAAGATTTCGTTGTCATGACCCAAAGTTATATTTTTTTAAATGGAAATCGTAGCTGACCATATATATCACATATTATAGTTATTTTTACAAACACAGGATATACGGGGTGTTTTATATATAAATTATATATGTTTTTCATTTTTAATATGGCTTGCTATGAAAAAACATAAAACTATAATTCTTACTTTTACAAAAGTCATATCTGTTGTAAAAATATAACGTTTATTTTAAATGCACAACATATACACGTGTATATAATATAATACTAACGAAATTTTAGGAGATAGGTGGATAGGAACAAACGGACCGATCAGATGGCCAGCTAGGTTACCTGATTTGAGTCCGTTGGACTTTTTTCTTTGGGGTTTTCTAAATGACATTATATTTAAAATTCCTTTTTACTCTATCGAGGAACTTCGACGAAATGTTGAAAATTCTTTTAATAATATTTCTAATATACATTTAATTTAATGAATGCTACCCGAAGCGTTGCCAGATGTGCGAAATGTGTACCAGTTGAGGGACGGCAATTTAAACATTTAGATGATAATGCAGCTACTTACTATTGTTTAATTTACGTTTAATTTTGCAACTTCAGTTGAAGTGGAATAAAAATTTGAAGACTGTCTTTTCTTATCTGTAATATATATTTTAAATAAATTTCATATGTTTACAACAGATATGAGTTTTGTAAAAGTAGGAATTATAGTTTTGTATATATTTTCATAGCCAGCCATATTATAATGTAAAAAAGGATCGAATTGATATATAAAACACCCCATATTTTCTGTGTTTGTAAAAATAACTACAGCATGTGATATATTGCTGAAAAGCAAAAACAAATCTCCATTTATTTAGGTCATGACTAGCTACGATTTCCATTTAAAAAAATATAACTGGGTCATAACTCTGGAATCTTAGGACCTACTAAAAATCTAATTCCGGCATTCAATTCTACGCCAAAGTATTAGTCTTGAGCAGTTTTCTCTTTAACTCTACCTTATTTAACAGCTGTGATACAGACATATTCAAAAGTGTCACAATAATAATAAACGCCCTGTAACTCAGAAACAAATGAAGATAGCAAATTTCTGATTTGACAATTGAGTTTGCCATGAAAATTGAGCTCGAGAACATGGTGTCAGATTTATCTTATCTTTAGTAGTTTATGAAATACCCTGAAATCCCACCGAAAATAGACCAGCCTGTACATATTTAGGTTATCTGGCAGTATGATACTGCGCTTCATTTTTTTTGTCACTTCTCAGGGGAACACGTACATTTTGGAAGGTATTTTGGGGTGGAATACGATTTACAAAAAATTTTTTTTACAAAGATTTAGTTTTTGGCGTAGAATCAAGATCAATAAAAAAAAAGTATGCCACTCCATTTAAAAAAACTGGCCTCCGGTCTGAATAAGCCACTTCCGGTGGGAGCCGGAAGTTGAAAATACCTCTAATCGATTCGGCATAGTCCATTTACTATTAAGAGGTATTAAATTTTCCATTTTATAAGATACCCTAGATTTCAGAAGGAGTGCAAGGGTGGTATGAAACACCCTGTATATATTATAATCGTAATTACAAAAAAAAATAAGTAACATTTTTTAAACTAGCAGACCATCTCCATTAGCATTCTTGCGTTCATCGACAAATTTATGATAAAATGTAAATTCTTTATTTTCTTAAAACCAAATATACTTTTTTAGTCTCACTTCCTATCTCAAACCCAAATTTGATAAAAACGACAATAGAGCTTACAATCCGCACTGTCTTGAGGTACCAGAATCTCCTCCAATTGTGTTGGATCACCTAACGAACATGATCTTGAAGAATCGGCTGCCAAGTTCTCCGGAAAAAGATCTTGCAGAACTTTTGGGTTTGATGGCTAGTGATCAAAAAAGTTCTATCAAGGAGTTGGGTGCAAAAATTGGCTTGGCTTTGAGAGAGGTTAGTTATGAATTGGGTTAACTTATAAACACAATTTAAGCACTGAAAAAAATTTAATACACATCGTTTTGCCTTTAAAAAATATGAAAACTTTAGCCCCAATTTTTTTTATATACAGGATGTTCCTAAATATCATGTACATAAGGGAGGGGGTAATTCTTTGGTTTATTTCATGACTAAAAGTTCATATAAACATAGATCCGCAAACGCTTTGTTACCGATCTACAGGGTGTTGAAAATTTAAGATTTTTTTAGTTTTTTTCTCTATAGCTCCCACAGTTTTTGAGATATTGAGCTCAAATTTAGAATATAGGTTACGCTGTAGGGCTTACATCATTGGGCATGCCAAATGGTCGTGATATTCTACAGAGTGATATTTTTTCGGGGTTCATGCCCCCTTTTCTTCCCCTTAACTTTTGTGCGGTGCGCCGCTGATAGATTCTAAAATCAAAATTGAATTTTATGTTTTGCTGAGAAACTTTTTGCCTCTTATGATTTTTTCGTATCTGCAACCGTTATCGAGAAAAAAAANGGGATAAAAGCTGAAACGACACCTATCGCACGCCACTGGAAGAAGCCAATAAATGGTTTCTGCCATATTTATGCATCCTTTAAGCTAGTAAATCTGTCTGTTGAGTTTGATAAAGAAATATTAACTAATACTGGAGCTACAGGAAAAAATAGTTTATTATTTTTAAATTTCAACGCCCTGTATCTCAAAAATGAGTCACTTTAGGACATATGTTTATTAAGTAAACTGCACTTATTTTTGGATTTTTTACATACCATATCCATTTGTAACACCTATTCATTAACACCCTGTATAATAATATGTATATGTAAGTGAGTATGTGTGTGCCTAGTTATATACATATTATATTATATACTTACATATTTACCCATATATGTAATTTTTATATTATTCTCATACGATCAATTATCACTGTTATTATGTTTTTACATTTTTTTATAAAAAAAGCTTAAAATGATCTAATCAGATTTTAAAAACTATTGATTCTGCATGTATTTATAAGTAGCAAGCCCCCTGTATAAGCAGTTTTTCTCGACATTTTCGTTTGAATAAAAAAAACTTCCTGCACACCGTGTATTCGTGATTTCGGAATCATAACGCGTTACGATCCGATGGAAACCAATCAGGTTGCTAGATTTCGGATCGTAACACGTTATGATTCTGAAATCATAAATAAAAGAAAACGGCTGTGATAGCTCAATTCTGACACCGGATTCGTGGTCAGGAGGCAAAAATACTAAGGATAACATATGTCACATGAAAAGTACAGACAACTTTTTTTGTGTGTGTGGCTGTGTTATTTATTGAATTTATGTATCTCTTTGTATAACCCTATGTGGAAGCGAATATCATGTTTATTGTACGTTTTCCAGAATGCCACATCTTGGATCCTAGCTACGGCTTCAGCGATATATTGGAGAATAGTAGGAAATACATTGGAAGCGGTGACTTGCATAAGATTGGCCCTGGCTTATGTTCCACCAGACCGCTTGGACATCCCTCTAATCCATTTGGCAAACCTCCTTAACAGGTAAATTTAATTATCACTTCTTGAAATAGTTTCTATTTGGCCTCGAAGGCAACAGATTTTAATCGTTTCAGGTTTTGTTTAAAAAGAAATTGATTGAATGAAAATTCCAGTTATTACCGTCACCGTTGGTTAATTATTTCTGTTGGTTTCTTAAAGCACAAGGTGTGATATAATATCAAATATTTCACGAAATTTAAACTGCCGATTGTAGAATATTCTATTTCTAGGGTTGGATTTCACGCAGATGCCCTTGATGTCGCTCACTTAGCCCTCAAAACTCATCATAGTTTCGTTCTGAATCACTTCACGGTGGCCAACATCCACATTTCAATGGTAACAACACATAGTTTCAGTGTTCTGTGTGTTATTATTGTTTTTTGTAGGGAGAATTTGAAAAAGCAGTTACGTTTTACAGAGCATGTCTGGCATTAGATTCGAACTTCGAACCGGCAAGGGTGAGGCTTCAGGCAGTCCTATGCACATTGCTGTTTGATGATGCAAACATGCGGAAGCAAAATGATTTAACAGACTGACCATTATTTATTGTAAAATTAAAATAAACCGTTCTATGGATTAACATTTTTTATTTCTTTAGTAACATCGTTAAGAGTGCCTGTCGGCAAATCTTTTATTGATAGTATAAAAAAATTTATTAATAACCAGCTGATTTTCTCAAGATCGTATCTTTAAGAACAGCAAAAACAACTTTTCATAGTGTCTGACGAAAATTATTTTCTGATTTTCCAGTCTGACGCATCAAAGTTGTCGATTTCATGACTACAAAAAATTTATTAATAATCGTCAGACATTGAAAAATTATATGCAGAAAAGCAGTACTTAATATGTGGTACACATCTCTGACAAATATGTTGGGGCGTAACTAGAGTGACGAAAAAATTACATTTTTCAACAATGACAGTCCTATACAGGTTGTCCCACTACAAACTCCATCGATGGATATCTGGGAAACCGCTTAAAAGATTTTTTTGAAATTGTGATGGTGTGATACGAACCGTGGGGCCTACCAAGCTAACATATTTTCAAGGTCATCGTACTTCCGGTTATACCGGAAGTCGATACTAACTTTCTTATTTTAAATGTAACCCCCTGTATGTTATTGCATTTTTGGAAAGAGCATCTATTTTTCAGTTGAAAACATATAGCACACTCCATACTTAGGATTGACCATTTCTGAGATATTTTGATTTTTAAGCAAAAATTGACAGATGCACTCATTAAAATTTAGTTTTCCCAGAAACATTGGTTTATTTTTTTGTGCAAATTGGATATTTTGTAGAGGAAGACCTAATTTGTCGAATTTGACATGAAAATTTTCCCGTTTTTATACAGAGTGGTCAAAAAACAATTATCCAATATGAAGTTCAGAAAATGTGGAAAACTTGAAATTTTTAAATGGAAACCCCTAATTTTTTAACGTAGTCACATTCTGCACTAAAATTAAGTGTAACTTTGTTAAAGCTTCCCTATACCTAAACCCAGTGGTTTTCATTTTATTTACGAATAAACATTTCCCATTTCTTAAAATGTTTCCATTTGTTTTGCATATTTTAGGTTGGCCGTGACAGGTAAGTAACAATCAACATGACAACTGTCACAGGTTTTTAATTGTCAAATTTATTTTAATAAATGTTCAAAATGTTTTCCTTCAATTTCTCAACTTTTTTCACACCTTCGGATTAGTTCCTTGTGGGTCGCTGTTCTAATAGAATCCGATGATAGATGCTCAAATGCTTGCCTTACTCTATGAATACAATTTTCCTTTGTTATTACTGGAGTACTATACACACTATTTTTTAGTGTCCCAAATAAAATAGCATGTATCATCGAATTCTATTAGAGCAGCGACCCACAAAGAACTAAATTTTGACAATAAACAACCTGTGACAGTTGTCATGTTGATTGTTACTTACCTGTCACGGCCAACCTAAAATGTGCGAAACAAATGGAAACATCATTTTAAGAAAAAGGAAATGTTTATTCGTAAATAAAATAAAAACCACTGGGTTTAGGTATAGGGAAACTTTAACAAGGGTACACTTAATTTTAGTGCAGAATGCGAACATGTTAAAAAAATTAGGGGTTTCCATTTAAAAATTTCGAATTTTCCACATTTTCTGAACTTCGTATTCGATAATTTTTTTGACCACCCTGTATAAAAACCGGAAAAATTTTCATGTCAAATTTGATAAATTAGGTCTTCCTCTACAAAATGTCCATTTTGCAAACAAAAATAAACCTGTGTTTCCGGGAAAACTAAATTTTGCTGACGGTCTGCATCTGTAAATTTTTTCTTAAAAATCAAAATCTCTCGGAAATGGTCAATCCTAAGTATGGAGTGTGTTATATGTTTTCAACTTAAAAATAGATGCTTTTTCCAAAAATACAATAATATACAGGGGGTTCCATTTAAAATAAGAAAGTTAGTATCGACTTCCGGTATAACCGGAAGTACGATGACCTTGAAAATATTTTAGCTTGGTAGGCCCCACGGTCCGTATAAAACCACCACAGTTTCAAGAAAAATCCTTCGAGCGGTTTCCCAGACATCCATCGATGGAGTTCGTTTGTAATAATTTTTATTTCAATAATCATTAAACTTTTTTACGGTACTATAAATAAAAACTACATTAATTAGGTAATTAATAAATGAATATCATGTATTTTATTAAATAATATAAATGATTTTATAGAAAAAATTTCGAAAATAAAAAATAAAATCAAAATTAAAAATTAAAAAAAATTAATTTTGCTTAATTTTCGTCATCGCTTTCATCGTCATCCGTACTTTCTTCATCTGTATCATCACTGTCGTAATTGTCTTCCTCCTCAGTTTCGGAATCAAGCATGAGCATCTGAAAATTTAATAGTTTGTTTCTAGGATTCTAGGATCAAAAAATTTTTAATCAATTTTTGTACGTCAATTTTACTAGGATTGAGCTGAAAACTCATTTGCATACTACTTACAGCCTTATGAATCAGGAGTTTTTCTGAAATTTTCCAATAAAATTTTCCAGGAAATTTGACACGTGTTCATCTCACAGTAAACAGGCATCCATGGAGAATAGAGACTTTTACTACTCTCCATGCAGGCGAGAATGCACAGTAAACAGAGAGGTGTGTATACATATCAAGAGCGAAGTTCAAGAAATTCAAAATCGGAAAAACAATTTTTGAATGTTTCTTTGCATTTGAATAAATATTAAATAAAAATTATTCATCAATGATTTCTGAAGTAATAAAATTTATTTTTTAAAGATTAATGTGAAATAATTATGAAATTATGAGGGTGTTTTACAAACATTAAAAAATTATATTTCTTGCATCAGACTGAAAAATTGGAAAATACATTTTATCTGCCAATTAAAAAATTGTATTCTATTTATTTTAATTGAGCTATAGTGAAAAAATCAGCTGGTGATTAATAAATATAGTCTCAATTTATACTTGCGAACGCAAGGTCCAAGCGTAGCTAGAAAACTAAATTAAAAATTCTTTTATTTAGTATTTTCATGTAAAAGACTCCGTTTCAATATCAGACAATATTTTTTATCATATTCTAAATTCAATTTAAAAACCAAAAAATGTTGAAAAAAATTGTTATTAATAAATTTTTTTGTAGTCATGAAATCGATAACTGACGTGTCGGACTGGAACATCAGAAAATAATTTTCGTCGGACAATATGAAAAGTTGTTTTTGCACTTCTTAAAGATAGAATCTTGAGAAAATCATTTGGTTCATATCTTTTGTCAGAGAATTTATTTTCACGTTTCATTTGAAGTTTTTTTCAATTTAAAAAAAAACAGTATCTATAAATTTTTCATATATCGTCAAAACGACGTGTTTCGGAGAAATTAGAGGGAAAATGCCCCAAAATCGAAAAAAGTCACAGAGGAAAAAAGTGTCAGACTAGGCCTAATGAAGATATATGAGAAGTTTGGAGAAACTATGTATCAATAAAATTTAGCCGACGGGCACTAACTATAAATTTAATGGGGGTGTTAATCAAATAAATGGTTGTTATAATTAATTTTCTAAACCGCGCTTTTATTCGGGGCACCCGGAATTAGCATGATAAGTTATGTCGGTGCACTATCAGTGGTGTTAGTTGTTACGTTTTTATATCAACTTGTTACTTACCACATATTCGCTGTTCAAATAGGTTCAAGTGACTTAAAATTTAATTAAAATTTAGTTGACTGTTCCCGTGTAAACAAGCCATTAGAGAGACAAAGGAAATAATTTAGTAAAACAGATTGCACTTTTATAACTTCGCGACGTGTCATTTTAGTCAATATTTTTTTGATATCACTGTGGTCGAACATTAAAAAAATATTTGATTCTACAAATAAAGAAAGAATTTTTAGATGACTCATTAAACATTAACTAATATGTTACTAATTTTTTTTTAATCAGCTCATAGACCAGGAAACAAATGAAAAATAATTTAGTGAAAACAGATTGCTTTTATATGACAATGACGTGTTATTTTAAAGTCACCATATTTTTTTATGGCATTATGAACGAAGCGTTAAACATTAAAAGAATTTATTTTTGAAAAACTTTAAATTTTCACGATTTATTAAGTATAAACCAATATTGGTATGTAGATACATTACTAATTGTACTATCATTAAATTTTGTCATAAAATATTTATTTTTAACAATAAAAAATAAATTAAAATACTAATCTGATTGACATTGTGGGTACACATGTCTGCAAGTGACCAATCTTAAGAATCAGATTAAGAGCATCAGCCTGACGCCCGATACACACTATGGTTCTGGGAAAAGGGCTACGGCTGATTGGTGCCAGGGACTAGATACGTATACCTGTGAGCGACTCCATAAGAAGACTCTCCAACAAACGCTCGTCCCGACAACATTTCTTTTCACTGAACTATTGTTTTCAATAAAAAATATTTTAATTTTACCCTCAGATATGAAATATTTAAAATTGTTTTTACAATTATGTGTTACTATTTTCTCAAAGTAGACCGATCAAAATAACTCATTTAGAGGGAAAAAAAATTGTTACCTGGACTTTTATAAGTGAAAATTGCAAAGGGGCTTATAATAAACCTAAAAAAATAAATGCGTGAGCAGGAGTGGCAGAGGGTTGATTTGGGAGGTTCAAAAGTTGTGAAAAATTGTATCATTGGGATTTCTGGCGAAAATTGACGTCAAACCTAAAAGTATCCAATACCAAAGGTGTAGATCATGCAAATATCTACAACTTTTGGAACCAGAAGACCAGAATAAAAAATCAAAAACCGATTGCACCATTTAATTGTACGAAAAAAATACAAAAAAACTGTCATTGTTTGACCCAAAACTTTATTTTTGTACAGTATTGCTATAAACATGAGTCGAATAGTGAATAAATAAAATAAATAATAATTTTTTCCGTAGGATCGTTTAGTGTACTTATTTTTTTAAAATTTTGATGAATTCATAGATATACAGTGTGTCCAAGATAAGGATGGGATAGCATTAGGATCTAGGAAACGGTAAGAGATACGGGGTGGCTCAGAT